CCAAAACCCAGGCCAGAAATTTGTCTCGTCGTCGTCGGCGCTGGTATTTCAGCTTGGTGGACTGGCGTTCACCGATCGGTTACGCGACTCATCCTCGAGGCAGCCGTACAACGAGCTCGTGGCTCAGTGGGTTATAGCGTTGAAGTTCTAATCAATAGGTTGCGGGTTCGAGCATCGGGTGGGGCACCAGCTGCGGTTGGATATAACTGGATAATGACGGCTAATAAGCCAGAAAGTGTCATTCCAATTCCCCCTGTCTTTGTCAGTAACTCTTAATCAGTACTATCCAAATTAATCAGAGAACCCGGTGATGGCGAGACCGCAAACCTGTCTTTAAGTGGACAAGAAATCACCAAACGCTCATGCGAAAGCCCCCTTCGGAAAGTTGCTGAACAGGTTTCTCTGGGAGGTGCAGTCGAATCAGCTAGAACAGGCCTGATGGACGCTCAAGGTCACCTGGCGCCATCCACCGTCCACAAGTTCCGCAGTGCCTCTTTGTTCACAGGGATAAACAACAGGAAGTAGAAGGACCCAAAACGCCTGGCCAGGACTTATCACCCACTTCCTGTTTTCAAGGGCACGAAAGAAGTTTTTGACGATATGATTCCGCAAGAACACACTCTGTTCAATGATAAAGTACATGCCAGTGTACGCGGCGATGCGTACATCGGGGGGAAGGGTGGGGATGACTTATATGCCACTCCCCCCCCGCCCTAAACACGACATGAAAACAAAATGCACCCGAAATGCCGTAGTCTTTGCGCGAAATTCCAAGGGGAATAGCGCTGGGTTTGGGGCTAGAATTAATCTTATGGTTTGGGTTCAGGGCATGAGGTTTAGTATCATATTCAGGACACTGAACTGCGTACGCTTCTTACAATTTCGTGGACGGGCCTCCCTCTTCCCGTGTCCCGTTTAGGTGGCCACACTAGTCAACCTTACCGCGGGTGATAATGGAACAGTCACTGGCTACCACCTTCGATGTACGCACCTACCGCGTGGCATTCTGTGCAATAAACGAACCCCCCCAACTCTTGTTAGTTGAACGCATTGATTTCCTTGGATTTCCGGCTTTCTGGCCGAAGCTGTAATACAGAAGTTAGAATCACTAGCCCTGCCTACAGTCAAACCAAAATTCTGGCTGCGCTATGTAGATGATACATTTGTCAACATCAGGAAGACTGATTTAGACCTCATCCACAAGAAACTTAATTCCACATTCCCAGGAATTGAATTTACATTCGAAGCGGAGGTTGACGGACAACTCCCATTCCTAGATGTCCTTGTACATCGAAATACTGATGGATCACTCCGTACATCTGTTTACCGTAAAGGAGCATATTCGGAAGTAATCCTAAATTTTAGGAGGAACCACTCAGTCTCTCACAAAATAAGTTCTGTCTACAGCCTCCTCAGTCGAGCTAAAACGCACTACTCTGATGACGAAGGCTACCAGGAAGAAATGAAATACCTTTTTCAATTATTCTCCAAAATGGATATCCACGAAATTTCGTGCTCCGGTGCATAAAACTACAAGAATCCAAAGGAAAAGAAAAATGCATTTCAACTGGTATGGCCAACGAGGTATCGAAAACACTAATCTGGCGTACTCTCCCATACTTAAGGAATGTATCTGAGCTTGTCGAAAGAAAACTAAGAAAATACCAGATACAAGTGGCACACCAACCCGCAACCACCTTACGAACACAGTTTGTACACCCTAAGGACAGGGTTGGCTATCTTGAAAGAAAAGGGGTTGTCTACAAGATCCCGTGTTCCAGTTGTGATGCAGTTTATGTGGCCGAACCGGGAAATGCGTCTCAACCCGCATACAACAACACCAATCAGTGGTCAGAAGACGAGACCATTTATCCCAAGTGGCCATGCACACACTGGAATCCGGCCACAAATTCGCTTTGGAGAACACACGGATTGTTGGCACTTATCCAACTAGAAAAGGCCGTGAATTCCTGGAAGCAATGCACTCAGACGTTAGAATGGTGTTTAGGGATGCCACATTCGACAGGTACGATGCAAACTGGGCGTTAATTTCGGGTGGGAGGGGGGCAGCTGCTTCATCCACGTCCCCCAGTTGCTAGTCTCTTCAACGCAGTAGAATTTGTGAGAGAAACAGCAAAACGGATCACGGTGAGACTACATATCTGCCCCTTCATACTAAAGTGCACAATACCAGCTAGCATGCGAAAGTTTAACTTTTCGGACAAGACACATCACGTGCCTGTTGTT